TCCCAGGAAAACAACAGCTAATAACAGGCAGCCCGATTTCCCATTATTGGAACTATTCATTCATGTGGATACATGAAGGCAAGGAACCCTGCATGGATGGTAGTCTTCACCATGAGGGATGTTCATGTTAGATGCATAAAATCCTTGCAGGTTTCCTCAGATGCCCTTGAGGACCCTTCCACAGAAAACGAGTTTGTGGAAGGTCATCGCTGCCCTATATCCACTTCTTAGCATCATCCTTCATGTGGCCCTGTTGTGCTGCTGCCCCACTGATTTTGAGACTGCTTGTGTTAGATGTTCTACCAGGATATTATCTCCTCTGTAAGACTAAGCACATGTCTTATTAAAAGCTAAACATGTCAGCTAACTGAAGATCTTTCAGTAAAGCTCAAACTCATGCAGATAGAAGTAAGCACCAGGGAGGTCAGTGCAGTGGGTGGCAATCATACTAGATAAACATATTTGTGAAATGTTATTAATGAGCCTGGCTTGTTGATTTTGAATGCCTGTGCTTTTTCGTGGATTTTTAAACCAGATCGTTCCTTTCTTTGAAGATAAATAATAGGAAAAAATGCGACTTCTCTTTCTCTCCCTGTGCTCTATTGAACATTTAGTTCTGTTTATCAATACATCTTTCTGTACCCAGGACGTGTGGATAAATAGATTCTCTTTGGAGGCAAAGTGATTTTTTGATCACTTTGAAATGAGGATTAGCTTGAACCGCTATCTACTGTAGGCATAATTCTTTGCTGGTGGTGGAACTGGAGAACACAGGAAGAATCCTGCTAGATCAGAGAGAAGGTTTATCACACCCCATTTTTTCTTTCCAACTATGGTCAGCCAAGTGCTCCTGGGATGATTCCAGGTAGGGTATGACATCAGTATGACCATGGGTGGCACATGTCTCTTCTTTTGCTTCCCGTTGCATCTTGCCCTTAAAAAAGAAAACTCCAGGACCTAATCTCAATGGAAAGATAGACATATGTTAGGAGGAAAAGTGGAGGCCATGATTTTGAGAGTGGCAACTCTCTTCCTTGCTGCTTTCAGGCATGATTTGTTGGTCTCTCTTCAGAAGAACATTCTCCCTTTCTGCTGATCCTCCTTCTGCATTGCCACTGAATACTCTAGGTAGCTCCAGGTAACTCTTACTCTGCTGACCTCAAAGGACTGTCCTCCTCAGGTGTCCATCCTTGGAGCTCCTCCACCTGGGCATTCCATATTCTGACCTATTAATATTCCCTGAGACTTGCCTTCTGGCTCATGTCATCAGATTTGCTAGTAGCAATGCCTGCATTTTGTTGTTTGCCAGGAACATCACACTGACAGGTGGCCTTTATGCTAAGGGCTATCTCCAAGGAAACAAGAAGCACATTTTTATTTTTGCCAGAATTGCTAAAATAGGATTTTAAAATTCAGGAGGGAGGGAGGGAGGAAGGAAGCTACCTTCCCACCTATCTACTTGGATATTGCCTGGAAAAATCTATGGAAATAACAGCATCTGTTTCAGAGAGAACTAGATAAGAAGAATAGTAGATTGTTGTCTCTACTCGTGTTTGCTCTTGTCCCAAAGAGTAACCCAGTTTTCCCCACCTTTACCTTCCAAGCAGGATGGACCCCAATTCTTGTCATTTCCTGACAGTATACCCAATAGTTTTCCCTTTCATTCCAGTGAAGAAATCAGTAATGCTGAGGGTTATTTTTTGCTGTCATTAACAGGAGAAATGTTGTGACATTTAGTTTCTTTTATTGAGAGGAAAGGGAAAAGTAGGGTGTTTTTGTTCATTTGTTTATTAGACATATATTCCATCTTTCCTCCAGGAGCTCAAAGCCCTCTCTCCTCCTATGTTTCCCCACAACAATAGTCCTGTGGGCTTCAAGAGACTGACTGACCCAAAGTCACCCAGGCAGTTTTCACAGATGACAGTGAACTTGAATCTGAATCTCCCAGGCCCTAGTTCAGCACTTCAACCACTATTTCATACTGGCTCTTAGTGTGAAGAGTCCCCTTTCTTCCCAGACAAGGTGGTGTCCTGCAGCTCCCCACCCCTCATTGACTAATGGCAGAATGTCTTGGACCATAAATGAAGTGCAGAGGGCTTTGAAGACTTCACACAGCCTGTAAACTTCAGGCTGCTGGCTCCTGATTTTTCTAATGAGAAGGCAAGCACTTGCTCTCCAACTCCCATAACTCCAACCCATTAGTTGGTGTAGTGAAGATTCTGTTTGCTTGCCCCTGAATTTGACACCTTGGTCCTCCTAAAAATATTCTTTGGACCTCTGGCACTAACACACGCAGGATGTTAGGCCTGGAGAGGGTTGGTGGTCTCCATCTCTTGTAGAGGGGTCTGTGATTGCAACTGTAGAGAACCGATAGGAAAGAGTGAGGCCCTTGGGAAAAATCTTGGCACCTTATCGAGCAAGACAGAAAGGCAGCTTCCTGTTGTTATCCCAGGCGGTTTCCTAGGTTTTGTTTCCCCAAAGCTTTTGGTGGAAATGACTGAACCTGATGCTGAAGGGCAGTTCCTGTAAACGGGAGGTGCTCGGGGCTGGACTCCTTATCGTCAACGTCTTGCTTCCGGCTTCTTGAAGTCAGGCCTTGGAAGGCAGGAAGTCTCCTCCTCCTGATAGCAGGTGGTACATCCTTTAAGGAGCCCAAAGGGACAGAAAATACATCTTGGCTGTTAGTAACACAGAGTACTTTTGCTTTCTGATAAAGATTCGTGTGTTTATGTGTATCTACCTTTTTAAAGAAAAAAAAATCTTTAAATACTTTCCATCCTGTTTACAAAGAAATCCCATCCTGTTGGAGTGGAGATGCAAAGAGTAACTGATATTATGGGAAGGAATTCCAAGGAAGCTGGTGCATTAAAATCCATTCAGAAATCAGTTTCTAGTCACTAGCTTTTGAATGCAATGCTTCTCACTGAACAAACTACATTTCTGATGCTAATCAAGGTTGCTGTCCCATTATTTGGGGGGATTTAGGCGAGCAGCAAGTCGCAGGCAAAGTCTTAAGGATGTGTGATAATTCTCTGGACCTTGTGGGCAATTTTGTTTCCTCTTTGACATCTTGGGTATTATTGTGTCAGGAAAATGCAGAGCATTTTCAGAGCATCCAATTCCATCTGATTTTTTTTGCCCTGCAGCTGAGACATTCCACTTGCACCAGTCGGAATCAACCCCATCACATTCAGGAACCGTTAACTTTCCTCTGAAATGCTGGTTGGGGCTGAGATGCTTAATAATTAAAGAACTTCAGAGAAGGAGATCCAATTCTTTCCTAGCTGGAAGGAGAGTGAAGCTAATTTGTATCAAAATCCACCTTCCAATTTCCCCCAAATTTTCTTCTCTGACATTCATTCCCAGGGTCCTTTAGAATTTCTTTGGGTGTTTCTTTAAAGCTTATTTTACTGTACTGTATTTCTGAGAGTTGGTGCCACTGTTATTTTTCTATTATATACATAACTCCATCACTCCCAATCTGAAAAAGCCCCAGGGTGATGTTTGTTTAGGTTTGAATTTGAATGGAAAGGGAAATGTCAGAGAGGTTAGAATTATAGGATTGTAGAGTAGGAAAGGACCACAAGAGTCACCTAGTCCAACCTTCTGCAAAATTCAGGAAAACCAATTAAACCATCCTTGACCGATGGCTGTTAAACATCTTAAAAACTTTCAGAGATGAAGAACCCATAATCTCTGTAAGTTGGCTATTCCATTGATGTACAGATCTTGCCATCAGAATGTCTTTTTTATACAGTATATATTTAAATGAAATCTGGGTAGTTGCAATATATCCATTATTTTGGGTGCTAGTTTCTATGGCAATGTAAAATAGTTTCTGATCATCTTCTCTTTGGCATCCTTTTATGAACACTGGTGCATACCACCAGGGAGATTCAAGCCATCAAGGAACTGATCATACAATGGATGGGAAGATCCTGCCAGGCTTTATTAGGCCATCGTATAACTCAGGAGGCCAACCCTACATCCCACACCTAAGAATTTATTCCACTTCAGAAGTATGAAATCCTTGTGTGTGTCTGGGTGCATACTGTATGTTTTTACGGAACCAAAAGAAAGGGGAATCTAAAAACATCCCAGTGAAGACTAAGTAGTGGAAATTAGGGGATGGGTGTACAAAACAGAATCGTTCCAGAAAAGAGTCAGGCTGGCCTGAGTGTAACCCTAAAACCTTAAAAGAGACAATTTCAAGAAGCAGTATGTGTACATTGTGCTTATTTAAAACATTTTTCTTCATCCCAAAAAGCTTCCAGAGAAGCCAAAGAGGAGGAGAGCCCTTGCCAGCAGATTTACGGTCTAAAAGGCATGATATAAAAGGAAATATATGGAACGACCATGTAGAAGTAATTCAGGAAGCAAGGAGGCTGATGGCTCTGATCTTGCAGCAGACCCTCACTTCCCATTTCACCCCTTCCTGCTCTTGCTTGGTGGAATGATGTGCCTTGAACCCTCTCCTTGAAAAAGGGAGGAATCCCAGTTATTCATCCCTTCGGACCATCTCCACTGTCCTGGTGTCCCAAGGGACACATCCCTGAAACAAAATAGATCAGCAACACTTTTTTCTCAAGACTTGAGAAGCGGGGGAGGACATGTCCCACGTCAACTCAATTCACTGAAGAGGTCCACATTCTGAAAGCCCACAAGCAGTTCTAGTACGTACAGTCTTGGATTGTAACCTGTCCATTTTTTCCCGTTTCTACAGAATGTCCTGCCATTGGGTGGGTTGGGTATCAGGTGCCTTTGCTTTGGAAACTGGGAATCTAAAACGCTTTCACATTTGGAGTTTTCAGTGCTCTGAATTTAGAGAGAATTGCCCTCTTCTGGCATGTATTTTCTTTAAAAAAGAGAAAAGAAAAAAGCATGCTCCCAAAATAGAAATACTAATGAGAGAGGCTAGCAGCTTTTCCAAGTGTGATTAAGGTTTTTTTTATTTTTTTAAAAAAGCTAGTCTCTCATGGTGGGCATCTGAAGGTGGCAACATGGGTTAGTTGAGCATGTCGAGTGGTCTTTAACTCTTGCTTTTGAGAATGGTTTTCCACAAAACCTAGACAGTAAGTCAGAGATGTGCAGAATGATCCAACTTCAGTGTATTTCCATCAGAAAGAGGTAAAATTCCACTAGGAAAAAACATGCTGTTAATTTGCTAGCAATAATCAACGTCTCCATCTCTTCATAGGGAAAAATCTGGATGGGGGAGTTGATGGAAATGGTGATCTGAAGTTCAGAGGTCACTTCAGATAAATATGATGCTGCTAGTGCTGGAAACCTTAGCAACAAGATTGTTAGGTAAAACATATCAATGTTGTATGGTCCCTGGAGTGGAGACTGTGTTTTCTCATTAAATATCCTCAGGAAAGGTTCTTAAGATTCATCTGCCTCTCGCTGGCTTAATTTCACAGTTCAGACTCCATCATTCACCTTAACGTTGGGTGTCATTTGAACTTAATGGGAAGTATTCTGCAATGACCTCTCTAAGCTGTTGTGCTTTATGTATGGAACTGGTGAGATCCTGAGATGGTCAAATTGGAAATAGTGTTCAGGAAAGGGATATCATTCTTTAAAAACACCCATGCAAAAGAAAAATGAAAAGATCTGCTTTGTGGATTAGAAGAAAAAGCTCTAGTTCAGATTCCTCACTTTTGTGTTAGCTTTCTCCTTATAGGAGGAGTTTTACCTTCAGGAATGTTTTGCATTAGATTTCCGCTGGCAAGGAGACTTTACCATTCAAGAACACTCTTTGTAAAGAAGTCATCTCAGTATCCCTCATCTGATGCTAGAGGAGATTCCATCAATTCTACCATCTTGGAACTGGAACATCTGAAAACTTCATCTGCTACATGTGGAAAGTCTGCTCTTGAGTGTCTTAGCAATGCTAGACAAAGCACTCAGACTGGATCCTTGGAGAATTCAGACATTTTTTGCTGGGATAATGGACTTGTCTTTATAATGACTTAAGTGTAATCCTAGGAACAATGAGACACCATGATATAATGTTGTACCCATGCGCAGCGGGTATTTTGGGAGGCTGAAAAGTTTGGCAGCTGTGACCAGCATACCCAGAAGGCAGCATCATGGAAAGATTATTTTGGGACAAGGCGGTATTCCTGTTTGTTACTTAAAGCACGTCTAAGGGATTATTTTTTTTAAGTGCAAGAGACCTCATATTTCAGATCCAAGCAATCAGGGACTGTATTCTTTCCTGCCATCCCTTTTCACAGATGCAAAGAATAGAGCATTGGAATATTCAGCACAGACTGATGTGCATTTCTTTTGAAACAAACCAGGGATGTCTGCAATGTAGGGTTTCAGAGGGTGCACCACATAAAAAACAGGTGGAGTTTCAAATGCACTGTCACAGCCACCACCTTGACTTTCTTTACCAACCTCTGTGGACAGCCCTGCAGCAAACAGCCGATGTTAATGTTCTGGCTGAATGAAATGAACAATACCTTTGACGTATTCGTTTTTTATGGTTGGCTTCTATTTTTTTTTATGTATACCTTTAATATATTGGGGGGGGGGACTTTTTTGTACCTCACCCCAAACCTGTTAGGATTGTTCCAGGCTATAAGTATTGTAAATAAATAAAGGAGAGTATTTCCTATTCCCAAACCAAAGTATTGCCTTCAAGGAAATAACCTAAATTCTCTACAATCTAAACAGCACCCCTGTCTGGGTTTCTCAAACAGCTTTGTCTTGTCTGAACACATTTATGTTACATGTAGTTTTCTTCTCAGTGAAAATTGCCCGTGGGGTACCACAGGATATATGTTTCTCTGGGATTATTCCAGTCAGTACTCATAAAATGTCCAGACTTCATATATCTTGGTGAACAGCCAACACTTCTATTTCTTTTGTCTTTGCAGGACTGTCTTCTGCCGTCTTGGAAGTGGAAGTCGCACACAGTTCAGTGACCGTGAGCCAAGGACAGTCGGCCATACTTCCTGTCTGGTATACATCCACCAGCATCAGTGCGCCCTTTGTCACCTGGCACCGGGAAAGACCTGGGGAGCGTTTTCAGGTATGGTTACATGTCACATTTTGCCAAGACTGGAAACATCTGAGGTCTGCTCCTGTTTCTAGCAACTGGCAACTGATAGGCTCCAAAAAAGAGTTGGAAGGTTGAGTGGAGTTTAGCAGCTCAGTCAACTGATTAGCGACCCAATCCTCCAGGTGAAATGATTTGAAGGCTCTGTCCGAGCATAACAGGCCTTTGTACATTTCTTGAAATGAGTCAGTTTGAGCTATGTGTAATAATCCACAATAAGCATTTCAGTGAGCCCCCTGCTTTCAACATGGGCTCCTTACCATGCCCTTAACGGCCATAGAAATGAATCCAGCGTGCCTATGATGAGGTCCTCCATGTGAGCTGAGATCTTGGGCTACAAAGACTGGCATTTTTTTTGAATCTGCTCCTCGTTGTCGTCTTCTGCTTTGGATTCTGTATGGAGAGCTTGGACTGGTCTACCACAGACACTTCCATTGTCAGGGAAAGTGAATAGTAAGATGTGTAAAACTAACCTTGAAGTGGACAATTGCAGGTCATGTTGCCGCAAAGAGCTCCCCAGACATGAGCTGAGATGGAGTCTAGGAGGGACAAAGGCAGAGAGTTTGGGTTTGCAAAGGAAAACTGAAGGTATCAACTCTCGATGGACATTTCTTGAACCCATGGCTACCGGATCTAGGTTCATACCAACTGTTCATCTGGAAATTAATGTCAGTTGAAAGGCCAGGACTACTTAGTGCACCACCAAACACAGCCATTTCCGTGCAACTTCTAATTCACTTTATAATTCACTTTATAATCCAACCCTGTTGGCCTTCTGGGAGGCCCTCCAAACTTGGTTTTGTCAACTCGCCTGGGAATCCTGTGATAGAGCGGGGCCTGCTAGATGGTTACGTGATGGTTAACGGGAATGCATTCTCTGTATGTTTTTTTTTTTTTAATCTGCCATTTTTAGAACGTATTTTTTTATTTACGTTGGTTGTGTTTTTAACTGTTTTTTAAAAAATCTATTTAAAGTCCCTATGTGAGATGGGCGGCTGTATACGTGTAATCATTCAATCAATCAATCAATCAATCAATCAATCGCTGGTTCGCTTTGTCAAATGGTAATCTGAGTTTTACAGCCAAATGGAAAACATTCAATTCATGGCGATCCTGGGACTGCAAAGCTGAAGAAAAAGCCGCTTTGACCTCTGCTTATGGAGGAGAGTTACAGCTTTTGCCTCGCAGTGTGAATACCGTACCAGGAGGAAGCTGAGGGGTGGTAGAACCAGGTGGCAAGAATCACAATGGCCACTAGGTGGCAGCAGAGTCCGAGGGATTTCTGTATCTCCTTGCTGTTTTCTAGTAAGTCAGTGTTGTCCAAACTTGGCCACTTTAAGATGAGTGGACTTCAACTCCCAGA